TCGAGGAATGTTTCTTCAGGTTTCTTTGTCTTTGCTATTTGGTACTCCTTCCTTGTACCATAATCTTGTTCTATCAACTTTCCTTAGTGAAACTATGCTCGAATTCTACTAAGGCATTCAAACACTCTGTCAAGAATCACCGCCAGAACTCTGATCGTGCGTTCCACGCGATTCAGCTCTCCCTTAGAATAGCATTCTCCGCATGGGGTGAGCGTGGAACGACCCCGTGTTAGACCCTTCAGACTAGCCGACGTTTGCGGTAAATACCTAAGTCGTTGTAGGCCGGCAATCGTCTAAACCGCCATGGACGACCAAGGAGTCGATGCATGAGTAGAGGATACTCTGCAGGCGCGGTTGGATGATGTTCGGTCACGCCACGAGGCTGGCGGGTACAGCGAGGCGGACTTGGAGATTTTGCTCCTAGGAACTCGTGCGCAGTGGGCGCGTGAGCATCCTCCTACCCGTGCTGAAGCGGACGGTGCGTCCGCCTCTCCCCGACCCCGGAACGACGAAGGCGACGGCGGCACTTTTGTCGGCGGTGGAAGCACGAGGGTTCGCGGAGTGATTCGGCCCGCCGACGTTGGCGTTGGTGGAGTGCAGGCGCAAGTGCTGCGGTCGACGGCGGCTGCAGGCAGCTCGAACGGAAACACCGATGGTCGACATCATTCTCCTCAGCGGAGTGGAGTCAGGCCGATTTCGGCGACTCATGCGTCGGCTGGTCGTGACGGAGGCATCGCGCCGGCGTACGGCTCCTTCAAATTTTCGCCGTACAAGATTGTTGTGCCGAAGCTGCTCGAAGGACGCCACGATTTAATCAAATGGATCGAATCCATCGAGCCTCAGCTGGAGATTGCCGGATTGAAGAAGTTCGTTGACTGCAAGGTGGAGACACCGGACGAAGACGACACTGAATTGAGGGCGGAATTTCGCGCCGCTCATCTTCTGACCTTCATGGTCCTTTCGCGGTGCTGTTCGCCACTGGTGCAAGTCGCGTTAAAGCCGTGCCGACTTCGTGTGGACGCCAGCTACCAAGCGTGGCAGTACATCATGCGCACCTACAAAGCGACCGACGACCTTTACATCAGCCAACTGGAGAAGAGATTGGCCACCATTCGCATGGGCGAGCAGGAATCGGCGACCGAGTACTGCAATCGAGCGCGACGAATTTTGGCCGACGTGCAAATGGCTGGCTTCGAGTACTCGGTGGCGTCGTATGTCACGCATGTTGTCAACGGCCTCCTATCGAGTACTCGGTGGCGTCGGATGCTGATCATTCCCGGCACGCGCGAGACTCTGAACAAGGATTCGCTTTCGAGTCACATCATCCAGGATGAGTTCATGCAGGAGTCTGAGCGGTCTTCCGAGCTCCTTCCGCGGGCCAACTACGTTGCTCCGACGAAGCAGGGACGTCAGACGGGGCAGCGTGGACAGTCGGGCGGAGGAGGAGGTGGTGGCGGAAAGTTGTCGAACACCAAGTCTACAGAGAACGCCAACCGCGGGAAGTCGGCGAAGGGCAATGATCGCGAAAGCAGTGGTTCGCGTCGAGGAGGACGCCGCTGCTACATCTGCGGAGACCCTGACCATCTCTCGCACGACTGCCCTGATCGCGACGAGTCCGACGACGATCAGAGAGGAAGCTGCGGGAAGTCTGACAGCGAGCGTCATCGTCAAGACCACCAGCCGCGCAAGGAGAAGCCAGCGACATCGAAAACGCCGTCGAAATCAGAGGGAGATACCTCGAGCGGCAAGGAAGCCTCTTGTTCGATGGTTGGAGTGGTTGAGCCAACTATTTTGCTGGCGCCGGAGGCTGGAGAAGACTTCCAGGCAGTCGCTGCAGCCGTGCAGGCGAATTCGACCGTGGTGCTCCTCGACAGCGGCTGCTCTCATCATCTGATGGGAACGCGAGAGGCCTTCATCGACATGAATCCAGGAGGCGACATCCGACACGTGCGCGGATTCAACGGGGCGCTTCAGAACGTCAAAGGTCGTGGCACAGTTGCTCTGAAAGGGGAGACCGGAAAGCAGATTCTCATCCCCAACGTGTTGTACGTCCCTAGCGTGCAGGCGAATCTGTTGTCAGCTGGCCAGCTGAAAGACAGCGGAGTGAAGCTGCAGAATGAGGGCGACGAGATGCTGCTCGCTTCCGCTGCAGGAGATGTGCTCGGTCGAGCACGCTTCACTGGCCGGGTCCTCTGCACCGACCTCCGCCCCTGCCCCTCGAAATCGACGACATCTTCGACGGAGGCAGTTGCTCTTCGGACGATCGCATCGGCGACAAAGTCAACGCCGGAGAAGTGGCACCCGAGGCTCGCGCACGTTGGCATTGACACGATTAAGAGTTCGGCAAAGCATGGTGTTGCTATCGATCTGGACATCAAGAAGTCGACTGGAGCCGACCTGCCGTGTGCCTCCTGTGTCGGCGGAAAGCTAGCGCGAGATACTTTTCCAGAGAAGGGATCGGATGCTGAAAACGCTCTCGACGTCGAAACGCTGGTTGACGGAACTAAGCTCGAAAGAGGGATTCCAGTCGACAGAAATTACTTGTCTCCGAAATTCGCAATGTGCGCGAATTTCGACCAATCAGGAAAGAGCAAATTTTAACCAATCAGATGCTCTCGGAAATTGTACTCCCCAAGAGATTTCGAATCAGTAAGGAAACTGAACCTGAGGAACGTTTTTACTAACAGTAAAAACGTAAACAACTCTGAAATTTGTAAACCTGAGAAACTGTCAACTCATGTGAAAGACACATGTGCTTGTTGTTGCACCTGCGACTCGGCAAAGGTGCTTGCTTGTCGAGAAACGTTTATTCAGGGTTCTTTGTCTTTGCTATTTGGTTCTCCTTCCTTGTACCATAATCTTGTTCTATCAACTTTCCTTAGTGAAACTATGCTCGAATTCTACTAAGGCATTCAAACACTCTGTCAAGAATCACTGCCAGAACTCTGACCGTGCGTCCCACGCAATTCAGCTCTCCCTTAGAATAGCATTTTCCGCAGGTTCTGGGGTCAGTCTCAAGTAGTTCTTGGGTCAGCCTCGGGTGAACCTCGGGTCAACCTCGGTTTAGCCTCGGTTCAGCCTTGGGTCAGCCTCAGGTCAGCCTCGGGTCAGCCTTGGGTCAGCCTCAGTTCAGCCTTGGGTCAGCCTCGGTCAGTCTCGGGTCAGTCTCGAGTCAGTCGGGTCAGACTCCGTTTTCTCTTAGGTCAGTCTTTGGTCAGTCTCAGGTCATTTGTGGGTGCGGGTACACTACAAACATGACGAGCTGCCCGCAATCTCCCACCCTATCCTTCCCCCCCCCCCCCACCCTACTTATCATTTACGCTTAAACCCCAGAAGGACATATTCAGCCGGCTCAAGGCAAAGATTGGTACCTTTAAAACACGTCTATTGGTGCTCTCAATGCTGGAGTGGCTCTCATGAGAAGCTAGGCGCATTTTGAGGCAGTGGGCTCTGCCTCTTCTTAGACATCAGATTTCTCACCTCCCTGCCTTCTTTCCTACGCTCTCATGCACTGATTGACTGCCATACATCCTCCTTTGCATGCCCCTGTTTGGAAGGCGCAAGGTCAATATTATGACTATCTTCACCGTCTCCCTGCAAGGAGTGTATTCAAGAGTATGCAAGGATTAATCAAGATCTGATTCACCCCGGACTGAGCTCCATCCCACAACACAGTCCCAGAGTATATTCTTTTATAACCGTCTGCAGTACCTTGTTTTCATTATATGTTTCCATCTAACATAGGCAGCAATTATTTAGAATTTGTACAGATTGGTTGGCTCGGATGATGCCAGCTCTTTGATCACCGTCCGTGTCGAATCAGACCAGGAGATGTGGCAGACACCACTTCGCTAAGCACACTTGACAAAATTCTATCAAGCTTACAATTGGTGGCACATTCTACAACAAAGAAGGCAATTTCACAACCACTACAAGCACAGCGCAAGCATCTCGCACACATTCTTCTAACCAAACCGAGCCACAATACAAGGAGGGAGTGGGGGTATGAGAGGCGTGAGGCTATGTTGCGGAAGACGCATCTAGCGTCTTAGACGGTTGCGTCTAGACGCAGCTTCTAAGACGCTAGATGCATTTCAGGCCAGATTAGCCGCATATTAGATGAAACCCCGGGCAGGCCAAAAAAATAGTACGGGCAGCCTAAAAAACCTTCTATAGGCCATGGGGAAGGGGAGGGGGAATGGGATGAAGACGACCTCTGGGTATAGCAGACGAATTAGGCTGCCGGGACATTCATCGAGATCTAGAACTTAAATCTAACATTGACGCTCACAATTTCATATCTCAAATTGGTTGGGTTTTCTAGATTCAGTGCGGTGAAGATCGGTAATGGGAGGGGGAATTGGTTGGTCACGAAATGGTTCACAAATCTGTTGGCTGCGGGGGACGAATTCCAATTTCGACTTAGCTTTCCGATTCTCAATTTCTCTCACACCTCCTCCGATGCTTCTTCTAGAACGTCTTTATTTGGCCGGCTCATTGTAGAGCAGAGGCGTGCAACACTTTAGTCCTAGCTGCTGATACCATTATGGGGGGTGGGGCTAACAGCTAGGTTTGGGGGATGTTATCAAGGTCGAAATGGGTGGGAGGGGTTGAAATTTCGCACGCGCGATTTTATTTTCGGGCTGACCGAAAATTTCCCCCCCATGCGTCTAGCGTCTAAAGGTGCGTCTTGCGTCTAGCGTCTAGACGCTAGACGCGGGACGGTCCCTGCGTCTTCCGCAACATAGGCGTGAGGATTAAGAGAGCGGGACTATGAGAGTAGTGGAGGGTATGAGATGTAATTCTCAAGGTGCACAGTAATACCGCGTTGCAGGTTAGATATGGGGGGTGGAAAAACAGATGATATGTCACACAGTGCAGATTGCTAGGTTAAGAGTGTAGTGCTTTACAGGCATGATGTTTTAAAACCGAAATTCTTTCTCTCTAAAAATCCCACACTCACTCAACAAGTGAACCTATTCCCTAAATTAGAAGCAACCATGCATTCGAAAGCTAAGAAATTTAGAAAGAAGGTGACGTGGAGGTGGGTTGGGCACATGGTGGAGGTGGGTTGGGCACATGGTGGAGGTGGGTTGGGCACATGGTGGAGGTGGGTTGGGCACATGGTGGAGGTGGGTTGGGCACATGGTGGAGGTGGGTTGGGCACATGGTGGAGGTGGGTTGGGCACATGGTGGAGGTGGGTTGGGCACATGGTGGAGGTGGGTTGGGCACATGGTGGAGGTGGGTTAGGCACATGGTGGAGGTGGGTTGGGCACATGGTGGAGGTGGATTGGGTACATGGCTTAGTGGGAATATACGCGTATAGTGTATATATGCGTATCGTATATACGCTAACGTATATACGCTAAACGCTGAAGGGTCGACTTTGGGAATCCGCTTTTTCGGGCAGGAAAAAAAAATCCGGGCAGGGTGAAAAACAATGTCGTGCTCAACATCGGGAAGGTATTCCATATTCTCACTAAGAATTTCGTAGCATTCTCCTAAGTCTGAACTTTGATTAGGGTGGGATGTGTAGTAGACACTATCGCTAGAAGGAAAAGTAGGAATCGGGATGAGCTCTGTTGGGAAGCGGAAAATGTCGAGTGTAGTTGGGCTGGCTGGTTAGTAGCGTGAGTGGGGTTTGTTGGGGGGACGTTTTTGACAGGCTGGAGTTCGTAGATGGGATGGATGCGGTACTAAACAAATTGTAGATCTGAACTGCCATACGCAATTGTAAGGCACATTCCCGCTTCCCTACAACCCCGAATTGCACCTCGACTTCGGCAAAATGCTCATCAGGAGATTCCGCATCTTTCCGTATACACATGAATTTTTTTCCCGGGCAGCCCCCAAAAAAAACTGAAAGCTTATAGCGTATTAGCTAGCGGATAGCGTTTTGCGTATGAACGCAAGCGTATATACGCTATACGCTTTAGCTCTCAGAGCGTATATTCCAACTAAGGTACATGGTGGAGGTGGGTTGGGCACATGGTGGAGGTGGGTTGGGCACATGGTGGAGGTGGGTTGGGCACATGGTGGAGGTGGGTTGGGCACATGGTGGAGGTGGGTTGGGCACATGGTGGAGGTGGGTTGGGCACATGGTGGAGGTGGGTTGGGCACATGGTGGAGGTGGGTTGGGCACATGGTGGAGGTGGGTTGGGCACATGGTGGAGGTGGGTTGGGCACATGGTGGAGGTGGGTTGGGCACATGGTGGAGGTGGGTTGGGCACATGGTGGAGGTGGGTTGGGCACATGGTGGAGGTGGGTTGGGCACATGGTGGAGGTGGGTTGGGCACATGGTGGAGGTGGGTTGGGCACATGGTGGAGGTGGGTTGGGCACATGGTGGAGGTGGGTTGGGCACATGGTGGAGGTGGGTTGGGCACATGGTGGAGGTGGGTTGGGCACATGGTGGAGGTGGGTTGGGCACATGGTGGAGGTGGGTTGGGCACATGGTGGAGGTGGGTTGGGCACATGGTGGGTGTGGGTTGGGCACATGGTGGAGGTGGGTTGGGCACATGGTGGAGGTGGGTTGGGCACATGGTGGAGGTGGGTTGGGCACATGGTGGAGGTGGGTTGGGCACATGGTGGAGGTGGGTTGGGCACATGGTGGAGGTGGGTTGGGCACATGGTGGGTGTGGGTTGGGCACATGGTGGGTGTGGGTTGGGCACATGGTGGAGGTGGGTTGGGCACATGGTGGAGGTGGGTTGGGCACATGGTGGGTGTGGGTTGGGCACATGGTGGAGGTGGGTTGGGCACATGGTGGAGGTGGGTTGGGCACATGGTGGAGGTGGGTTGGGCACATGGTGGAGGTGGGTTGGGCACATGGTGGAGGTGGGTTGGGCACATGGTGGAGGTGGGTTGGGCACATGGTGGAGGTGGGTTGGGCACATGGTGGAGGTGGGTTGGGCACATGGTGGAGGTGGGTTGGGCACATGGTGGAGGTGGGTTGGGCACATGGTGGAGGTGGGTTGGGCACATGGTGGAGGTGGGTTGGGCACATGGTGGAGGTGGGTTGGGCACATGGTGGAGGTGGGTTGGGCACATGGTGGAGGTGGGTTGGGCACATGGTGGAGGTGGGTTGGGCACATGGTGGAGGTGGGTTGGGCACATGGTGGAGGTGGGTTGGGCACATGGTGGAGGTGGGTTGGGCACATGGTGGAGGTGGGTTGGGCACATGGTGGAGGTGGGTTGGGCACATGGTGGAGGTGGGTTGGGCACATGGTGGAGGTGGGTTGGGCACATGGTGGAGGTGGGTTGGGCACATGGTGGAGGTGGGTTGGGCACATGGTGGAGGTGGGTTGGGCACATGGTGGAGGTGGGTTGGGCACATGGTGGAGGTGGGTTGGGCACATGGTGGAGGTGGGTTGGGCACATGGTGGAGGTGGGTTGGGTACATGCTGGAGGTGGGATGTGCCATCCACAAAAGTGAGGGGCTGCTGCCCTTGATCTTCCCTACCCTCACTGTTGGCACCCACCTACTGTACCATTTTCCCACGACCCCATCCCTCTCTATTCGGCAGGCGCAAGGCCAAAATGCCGATTCTTGGAATACCGTAATTACCCGGGTAATGGGCCCCCCAGAATTATGGACCCCCGGGTCGTCAAATGGGAGGGGGTCTAATGCTATATGCACTTTGTAATAAACCCCCCTTGTAGAAATGTATCCCAGATTAGACCCTCCTAACTGTTCTTAGTTTTGGTATAGCCTCCGGCTAGCGTTGAAGGTAGTAAATGCTTGGAGAGAATTTCTGGTTTTTTAAGACTGATTTCACTCAAAACAGAGAAGTACAAAGAACTGATTGAAAACAAACACATTTAAGCATTTCGAAATGTGATGTGCGCCTCGCGTAACGCGTCATCCGCGTTTCAGCCCGAGTCGCATGCGGAACCGATTTCGGTAACCGACACCGGAACCGAAACCTGGTTGTCTCATTCGCACCGAACACGGTTCGGTTGCGGTTGGACATTTTAGGTTACGGAAATGTCTTCTCGACATTTCCTGAAACCCACTCTCCCACCATTCCGTTTTTCCCGCTTTCTTCTCGCCTTCCCTCCTTAGCTCCTTAGCATGCAGCCCCACCGTTATAGCTGTCGGTTCTCCTCATTAGGTCGACATTTCCCACTGTTCATAGTGTCGTGCTACCATCCCTAGGTGAAGCGCATAGGTCAGTAGGCACTAGGGCAGTGGCGAACCACCCTAACAATCTCCCCCGTGGTTTGCCAGCTGCCACTCTCCTATGCTCCTATGGTTACCATGTAACCAGCCTTCTTCTTCTCTTGCTGAGCTTGTCCGTACGTTGGTGTAGCATCTCGGGTTGCTGCTCCGCTGCTCCCCCGCAAGTCCTGCAAGGTACGTATGCCGACAAAATACTTGCAAAACTCGAAGTTTGCCTTTGGTAGCACCTTGGTGAGGAAATCCGCTGGCTGCTCATGTGTTCCCACGTGCACGAAGGTGAATGCCTTCTTCTGTAGCTGCTCCCGTACCCAATGGTACCGCACGTTCATGTGTTTCGTGCGCCCATGCCAGTTGTCGTTTCGTGCGAGGTCAATTGCCGATTTGCTGTCCGATTTGATCGTTGTAGGTCCGTCCCCGTTGACCCCCATCTCCTGAAGTAGACGCCTCAGCCACACACCTTCTTGGCATGCATAAAACAGCGCCATATATTCAGACTCCGTGGTGGACAGAGCAACGTCGGTGAGCTTCTTGGCTTGCCACATGATTGCCGTTCCACCAAGGAGGTAGACATAGCCATAGGCTCCCCTCCCATCAATCTTGTCTGATCCGTGTGAGGCATCAGCATACCCCACTAGCTCTAGGCTCTCCTCTCCACCTTCAAACAGCAGCCCCTCATCGTCCCGCTGCAGGAGGTAAGTGATAGTCCGCTCCATTTCCTTCCACTTGCGTCCCTCGGGCTGCAGCACTCTCTGCCCAAGAAAGCTTGCAGCGTAGGCCACATCAACCCGTGTGCATGACACCGGGTACATGACTGAGCCTACCATGGATTGGTAAGCTTTGAGCGCTCTCTCCTTGTTGCCCCATGCCTCAATCTCTGCTCCCACATCGACCTCCTTGTCCGCAAGGCCGCTGAGAGGTGTTGTCACTGGTTTGGTCTTGCATTGACCTCCAAACCTCTCCCGCAACCTCTGAAAGTACTTCTTCTGGTATAGCAGCAACTTCTTCTCCTCCTTGTTCCTCTCTATGTTCATTCCAAGGAAGAGAGTAGTCCTTGGGATCTTCTTCACCTGAAATACAGCTGCGAGGTGAGTGCACACCTCCTCCACCTTCTCTTCCTTTGCTCCAGCCACTAGGATATCATCCACGTAGAGGAGTAGGAACACCTTGTTCTCCCCCTCTCCCTTCCAGTAGAATGCACGGTCACATTGGCTCTTGATGAACCCCCCTTTTTCCAGCTGCGCATCCATAGCTAGGTACCACTCCCGTGGGCTTTGTTTCAGCCCATAAAGTGCTTTGATGAGTTTGCACTTTCTGTCCGTGCCGTCCTCACACCCCGGTGGCTGATTCATGTAGATGGTCTCCTTCAAAATGCCATAGAGGAAGGCATTTTTAATGTCCAGCTGCACCATGAAGTAGCCGCGAGCCGTCACCACATTTAACATGGTCCTTGCCATTGCTAACTTGCTCACTGGTGCATAGATTTGATCGAATTCTTCTCCTCCCACCTGAGTGTAACCTTTAGCCACAAGTCGTGCCTTGAAACGCTCAAGCTGTCCCATGTCTCCCGTTTTGATCTTGAAAATCCAGCGCACTCCCACTGCTTTCCTCCCCTCGAGCATGTTCACAAGTTCCCATGTCCCCCTTTCAGCCAAGGTATCAAGTTCTTCCTGGATTGCAGCCCTCCATTGCTCCTTGTTCGGTCCGGACAGTGCCTCTTCAATAGTGAGAGGCTCGGTGGGCAGCTTGTAGCTTTCCACCTTCCCCTTTGATAGAAGTGCCGTTGCCGTAATGGTAAGGAGGAGGTGGGTGTGAATGTCCTTGCAGCAGGTCAGAAGCATTTGGGCATACTTGGGATTGGGTTTCTTGACCCGTTTCCCTTTACCCATCTCCTCATTCTCATTTTCGGCTCCACCTTTCTCTGCTGCTGCATTATCATCCGTTACTTGTTGCACAGAATCTCCTTCAATCTCTCTTCCGATGATGATCGCTCCGTCCACAAGTAGGTCTTCAATCTCTACTGCCGCCTTTTCATTGTCCCCCGTGTCAATGATGCGCCATGGGTCGGAGTACCCCGTGCTGGCAGATTCAGCCACACTCTCTTCCACATCTGAAATTTCAGCTTCTTCCTCACCGGCTTCATTCGTCGCGTTGTCACCCGCTTCTTCTCCCTTATCATTTTCTTCTTCACCCTCTTCCACGGCAGTTGAAGGTGAGGACAGCTCCTGCACCTCCCATACCCAGTCGAAACCCGGTGTAGTGTGGTCTTCGTAGTCGTCATTGTCACTGCTTCCATTGGCTGCCCCTATCCCCTCCTTCTCACTCCCATCTATCATCTCCTCCAGTGGAGTTGGTGCTGCTGCCGCTTCCTTTGCAACAGCTCCTTGTTTCCGTCCCTTCCACTCCAAGTAGGTGTCTTGCTCGTAGAAGGTAACATCTCTGGTCGCCGTGACTTTTCCGGTCTCCACATCGCGTATCACCCACCCTTTGCTCTCCGGGCAGATTCCCAAGTGAATCCCCCACTTGGTCCTTGGGAGAAGCTTATGGTCGGGTCCCGTCGCCTCACGGTACTGCACCATGCAGCCCCAAACACGTAAGAACTCCAGATTCGGCTTCCTCTTGTAGAACGCTTCGTGAGGGGTAATATCCGCCGCTAGTCCCTTTGTCGGTAAACGGTTTTTCAGCCAACATGCCATGCCTAGCGCATCTCCCCAGTAGTGAAGAGGCAGGTTGCTATCCGCGAGCAAGCTCCTCACACCCTCCAGCAGTGATCGGTTCACTCGCTCCGCAATGCTATTGTGTTGAGGTGTGTACGGGACCGTGAGCTGTCTTCGTATGCCCTTTGACTTCAGGTACGTGTTGAACTCGGCGTTGACGAATTCTCCCCCGTTGTCCGTGCGTAACACCTTCAGCTTCTTGCCGCTTTGCCTTTCCGCTTCCGTTTGCCAATCGAGAAAGCTCGTGAAGACTTGTGACTTGTTCTTGATCTCAGTCACCCACGTGTGTCGTGTGCCAAGGTCGGTGAAGGTAATGAAATACTTGCTGCCATGTCGTGAAGCCACCCGCATCGGTCCACATACGTCGGCTGCCACAATCGCCAACGTCTCGTATGGCTCACGAACTCCGTGCTTGGGATGTGGTGCCTTCGTTGCCTTTGCTTCCACGCATGTGCTGCACTTCAGATTTTCCTCTCCACCCTCGGCTACCTTCACTCCTGCTGCCATGTTCTTCTTGACCAGCTGCTTGATTCGAGTGTGACCAGCGTGCCCCATCCTCCTGTGCAGCAGGTTGACGTCCACCGTACTCACTGCTGCTGCCATAGGAAGCGCCTGCTGCTGCAGCTCTTTAATCGGTACCTTTTCCAGCTTGGTGCGGAGCTCCTCTCGTGCTACCTTTCCCGCTTCCGGTTCAGCCAGGTACGTGGTCTTCTCCCCACTCTGTTTCTCGTGAAGCTTCATCTCGTACAACCCCTGCTTGCGTGATCCCTCCGCTATCACCTTCCAATCCGAACCGAACACCCATATGCTGCCCTTGTCACTGAAAGTCTTGCACCCACCGCTGTCTAACTGCGATTGGCTTATGAGATTAAGTGTGAGCTTGTCCACCAGCAGCACGTTGTCCAGCTTCACCTCACCATAAGCACTTTGCAGCACTAGATCTCCTTCCCCTTTCACAGGAAGTTTCCCCTCGTCTCCCAACAGCACGTACGGGATCGGTGATGCTCTGAAATTTTGCAGCCACTCCTTCCGGTTCGTCATGTGTTGGGTACATCCGCTGTCCATGTACCACTCCTTGCCTTTGAGGCCCTTTGCAAGCAGGCATGCTCCGGATGCTCTTGCAACATTGGCCTTGTGTGCTCCACCGAGGATGACGTCGTCGTCGCTCGTTTCCGCTTCGGTGGTGTTGATCTTCGCAGGTACGTGATTCCTTTGCTGCTGCTGCCCTCCCTTGAAGCTCTTGCTCATCGGGTTGCTGTAGCAGTCGATTGCCTTATGACCAAATTTCCCGCAGTGGTTGCAGTTTCCAGCAAATCCACCTCTCGGCCTCTGTCCTTCTCTGGTTGCTCCTGCTCCCTTTCCTCTGAAATTCTTGCTTCTTGGGTTGGAGTAACACTCGGCAGCCTTGTGCCCTTTCTTCCCACAGTGGAAGCAATTTCCAAATGATTTTCCTGCCCCGGTTGCGTTCAACATGGCAGGTTTGTCGTTGCTGAAATTTTCCGGCAGCGCCTCCCTTCGCTCTTCCTCAGCACGTATAAGCGCAACGTCTTGAAGGGACTCCACCAGGTCCGTCATGTCCGTCGGGCGTCTGCAGGCCAGCATCCGCTTCTCTGCTGCCCATGATTTCGGTAGGCCGCCAATGATGTAGCTCATCATTTGCTTCTCCGATTCGGGCACTCCCATAGCTGTCAGGTCGTCGTTGTAGCCTTTAGCACGGCCCACGTAGTCCACTACCGTCTCGGAAGGTTCCATGGCCAGCAATATGAGTTTCGTCCTCACTGCTGTCATCTTTGCCTCGCTTTTCCCGAGGTACACTCGTTCCATGTACGCCCACGCCTTCTCTGCTGCGTTGTCCTCCTCAGAGAACGGGTCGAGTCGTGCTGCGATTGAATCCGAGACCGAATGGCAGAGTTGAAAGAAAGCTTGTTGGCTTCTTTTCTTGAACGCTTTTTTCTCTTGTGCGGTTGCAGGTGCAGGTCCATCTTCCTCCGTCGCTGCCTCTGGGTTGTAGAAATGCCACAAATCTACCTCCCGGGCGCGTCGCATGAACTTCAGCCTCCATGTGCCGTAGTTTTCTCCATTGAAGCGTTGAGCTTCACTTAGGCCAATTGTCGGTTTGGCCATGATTTGCCCCTTGGCAAGGGCATCGAGTAGACTCTGCAGCTGCGCACCATCAGTGTTCACTGAAGACCCTGAACTGGTCTCTCCATCTCCTTTCCCCATGTCGTTGAATATTCGCCTTCTCCAATTACTCTAAAAATTATAACGCCTCCAACGCTTTTATAATAAGGCTCGACGCGACGATAACCAAGCTCTGATACCAGCTCTTAGTTTTGGTATAGCCTCCGGCTAGCGTTGAAGGTAGTAAATGCTTGGAGAGAATTTCTGGTTTTTTAAGACTGATTTCACTCAAAACAGAGAAGTACAAAGAACTGATTGAAAACAAACACATTTAAGCATTTCGAAATGTGATGTGCGCCTCGCGTAACGCGTCATCCGCGTTTCAGCCCGAGTCGCATGCGGAACCGATTTCGGTAACCGACACCGGAACCGAAACCTGGTTGTCTCATTCGCACCGAACACGGTTCGGTTGCGGTTGGACATTTTAGGTTACGGAAATGTCTTCTCGACATTTCCTGAAACCCACTCTCCCACCATTCCGTTTTTCCCGCTTCTCGCCTTCCCTCCTTAGCTCCTTAGCATGCAGCCCCACCGTTATAGCTGTCGGTTCTCCTCATTAGGTCGACATTTCCCACCGTTCATAGTGTCGTGCTACCATCCCTAGGTGAAGCGCGTAGGTCAGTAGGCACTAGGGCAGTGGCGAACCACCCTAACAACTGTAAAGTGCTTGTTTTGAATCAAACTGTAGCGAGGAACTGATCAAGGTGAGTTGATTGGAGCCAATTGACCATGCGTCAGACGAGCGCCAGTCGCGCATCACATGCGTGGTCAAAATTTCGCTGACGCATCATGAAAGTGGTGGCCTTTGATCCTGTAACACGAGGGTATTTGACATGACTTAGAAAAAAAAGTGCATATAGGAAAAGACCTAGGGTCTTTGCATTTACACCCAGCTAATAGCCCCACCCCCCCTTTTTTCCGGGGTAGGATTAGACCCCCAGGCATATTACCCAGGTAAATACAGCAGTGAGATGTGGACTTCCGTCAGTGGAGTGGCTCGCTCGAATAGGTCACCATTCCACCACACTCTGCGCTCTTCCAGTTCTTAGCCTTCATCCTACCTGCCTGCCCTGCATTTCCTTTCTTCCCTGCCCACCCTTGCCTTCCATCACCTGTCCCTCTTTGCACGCACAATCCGGCAGGTGCAAGGCCAAGATCGCCGTTCTCATCACCGTCTCCCTCTCTTAACCGTTTGGGGGTTCTCAGGCACTGTGCTCTGCCTCTTCTCAGCCTTCACCATCAGCCCCTTCCGCAATAGCGAGGAGCTCAATGATGGCAATTTCTGCGATTTGTAATCACGTGAGTGCTGCTGAATGGAGGTCTTCTGCTGCTGCTGTTCAAGTGTGGCAGCACGACCTCGACCTTCTTGCCCATTGATTTCCGTACATCACAAATCGTTCTCCCATACTTCTGCTCGTTCTGCTGCCCAGGACTGGCGGCATGTTCCCATTGATACAACCCACGGATGGCTAGGGGCCTTGACCACCTGGCAGTGGGCCAAGAACTTCATATCTTGAATGGCAGTTGCTGGGTGTTGTATGCATTTCTCTTTGTTGTATCTAGTTTCAGTTCAGAGCGGTCCATTGATTTTTCTCGAAGCGAAACTATATTCATCTTCACTGAGCATGAAACAACTTGCAACAGAAGTATCACTTGAAAAGTGTGCACACAATGCGACCATCTCACACGCATCTTGTGACATCTCACACACTTGACAGCTTTGACATGAAGCTACACAAGATTTGCAATTGCATAAGCTGGCCCATCAACGGATGACCGAGGCCTGCGTGGGAGGAAAGGCAGGTTGGGATTAAGCGGCAACGGCAGAAAAGGAAGCAATGATAGTTGGATTGTTATAGGCAATTTGACATGAGAAGAGTGGGGGGTATGAGGGGAGTGGGGGGTACGAGAGGAGTGGGGGATATGAGAGGAATGTGGGTTATGAAAGGAATGGGGGTTATGAAAGGACTGGGGCCCGTTATGATAAGAGTGGGGGTTAAGAGAGGAGTGCGGGTTATAAGAAGAGCGCGGGGAATGAGGGGAGTGGCGGATATACCAAAGAGTAGCGACGGGCTCGAGACGCATGAGAGGAGGGGAGTATGAGAGGAGTATGGGGTATGAGAAGAGTGGGTGGTATGTGGAGAAGTTTGTGAGAGAGGTGGGTGAGAGAGGAGTGGGGGGTATAAGAGGAGGGGAGATTGTGAGAGGAGTGGGGGATGGGATAGGGGTGGGGCTATGACAGGAGTGAGGGATACGAGAGGAGGAAAACTCGACTCGTGATTTGCTCATGTGTAGCAATAACTCATAGGCACCCGTCAAGGAAGTTGCAACGAACGACTGAATGCGCATCATGAGTACCTGATTGCGTGCATTCAGTGCTTCAAACCTGTCCAGTGCAAGAGTTGGTGAGGGAAGAGGGGGTACGCACAAGCAGAAAAGGGTTGAAGTGGTGAAAAGGGGAGGGTGGAAAAAGGAGACAGGAAAGGCAGTGCAGGGACTGGGAGAAGGGCGGTGACGGGACATGACAGCGTTGTATGATTTACCACACTCGAAACGGACTCATCCAGAAATATACAAGGCCTCAGCAAGAACATGGTATCTTGAGGGGCGTCAGCAAGCACATGGGATCACAGCGCTAGTTAGCAATGTCACACCTGCCAGACGCTGGAAGTGGAGGCTTAAATGGACATCGCAGCTTTATGGCAGAACGCAGACCTCCCTGTTGCACCCAATTCATCTCTAGCCTTCACCTCACCTCCCTCCTGCCACTTCCTCTCGCTTTCACCTTCCTCCTGCCACTCACCTAGCCAATGGTCGTCCCACTCTTCTTGCTGTTGCTCCTGCCAGGGCATGTGAGCTTGTGGGAGGGCCAGTGCGTCTTTTGGCACTCTCTGCTGCAATACGCCACCTTGCCACACCCAGAGCAGTTCCTCAGCTTCACACCATCACCATCCACCTTCCCGCACCCCACAGCACCGCACACACGCTTCCTACAAGCAGCAGCACCCGAGGCTTCAGTAACTGAAACAGGCACGGCTGCATTGGTTCGTGCAGCTCCAGTGGTTGGAACAGCAGGGGTGGAAGAGACAGCAGGGGAGGCAGGGCGGTAGCACGGCTCCCCCAGCAGCATCTCTCGTAGACATGCCACCAGATTGACTCCCCCCGGCCATGCCTTCAGATAAGCCGCCTCCTCCCCCATCTTGCCCTTCCGCTTGCTGAAACCACCAAGCCCATCCCCCTGTTTCATGTCTTCACGGAACCTGGGCAGCAGAGAGCACTGGTAAACCTCACTTGCCTCTTCAACCCGTGCAAGTACATCCTCCTCCCCTACATCCTCCATCCTGCCACTACACGCCAGTCCGCCTCCCCCCATGCCAGAGGGGGGCAGCATTGCCACTGTGAACCAGGACTGCACCTCCTCCCACACAACCCCACTATCTTCTTCACCATTCCCACCCTTTCCTCCCCTCTTGCCTTCCCCACTAGCCCCACTCGCGGCCCTCCTCCCGCCTGCCTTCTCCTTGGCCCCAGAGGTACCCATACCAGCCCTGGGATTCTGTCCGCCTTCCGTGCCGCTCTGTTGCAGGAGAGGCGTGGCGCAGAGCAGCGCCAGGCTGAGCAGAAAGGCAACCGGCACCTGCTCTGCCCGTTCCCGTAATGCATGTATGCTGCTGCTGCTGCTGCTGCAACTGTCAGATTGGGTGCTATGAGGAGCGTTCAAAGAAGAGTCCAGCCCCAGGCGGGAGAGAAGGCTCTGAAACACCTCAGACCGCGGCTTGAAGACAGAGAGGAAGCGATCGAGAAGGACGGAGGCGGGGCGATAGGCGAAGTTGGCAATGAGAGCGATGAAGGGGGCGTGGGAGATGTACAGGGTGATGCACTGGCTGCAGTGGGCGCATGCTGGAACCTCCAAGAACAAACCGGCAAACTCCACTATCAAGTCTGCATCTGCCCTGCAACGGACAATTGAACAGGACTCTCCACTCTGATGTGGCAGCAGAGCTTCCGGGAAGCTTCCCTGCTGCACTTCCCTAGTTCCGCTGTTAGTGCGACTGCCATCAGCCCTGCCCAGCCCGAAACACCTCGCACTGGAGTCCTCAGGAAACCTCATAGCAGCTTCGTCCCCCTCTGGCCACTCCTCCCAGTCCAGGAGGCAGGTGCTTCCGTCCAATGGCGGGAGAACAGCGCCAAACCGGACCAGCAGGCTCGGAAGATCCCGAAGTGGGTGGCGCATGGGCAGGATCTTGCTGTGTGGGATGTTCTTGAAGCAGTTCTTGGCGGACATGAAATCCGAGCCGAAGATTCGAAGCCACTGCAAGATGCAAGCAACCCGGTACGTGAGCAGCCCAATGGTTGGTTCTGTGTTGACAGGAACGAGGACAGGACTTAGCATCCCAATGCTGCCGATGGTGCTGGTTCCACTGTTACCAACACTGGGAGCTGGTCGCCCTTTTGCCGGTGCAGCTGCTGCTGTTGCATCCACTGCTCCTCCTGTTGCCCCTCCCTCATTCCCCTCTTTCCCTAGCTTCCCACTGGTCAGTTTCCGCTTCCCCAGCCTCTCCCTGGCCTCTTCAATGGCTGCATCATGCACGTTGCTGCTGGCTGCGCTCTGAGACACGGCAAAGAACATGGCTCCCAGCTTGCGGTGCTCTGGCCTGGAGAATACCGAGGCGACTGCCAGGGCGAAGTCAGTGGCACCCACGCCACTCACATACATGCCCTTGGGAATATCCCTGCCTTCCACATCAATGCTGGTGCTGCCGCCCCCGCCACCGCCGCCGCCACTGCTGCTGCCACCACCGCCACCGCTGCCGCTGCCGCCGCCGTCGCTGCTGCTGGTGCTGCTGCTTCCCTCACTGCAGTGGCTGCACCTGAACTCCCTCCCTTCCCCCCCTCCATGCTCCAGAACCCAAGCCATGCCATCCACATACCTCTCCCACACACGCCCCTTCAGATTCTCCCTCCACTTCTCACCCTTCAGATCACCACCACCCACCCCTTCCTTTCTACTTCCACCCCGCCCACCACCACCAATCCCAAAAGGCAGACCCATCCCCATGCTCCCCCCACCATCGCCCCTCAGCATCGCCACCATGTCTGCCATGTCTACTCCGTGTTCGTGCATGATCTGCAGCCAGTCATCCGGGCCCACGCAAGCCCCACTCTGCATGCTCTGCATCACAGCAGCCATTGCTTGCTCCACCTTCCCCATCTGCCCCATCTGTCCCATCAGCCCCGCACTCATCGGACCCTTCTTCTCAGCTCCCCCAAGCCCCTTCCCCTTTGCCTTCTCACCAGTTTTCCCCTGAGCCCCCCCCTTCCCCCTCCCCTCAGCATGCGCCTTCTCCAGCCCACCTGACAGCACATGCTGCACAAAGAACCCAAACCCTTCCTTCAAATCAGCGCTCTCCTTCAACCCCAGCACCTGCACCAGCACAGAAGCAGCACTGTCCTCCTCCTCTTGCCGGCCCGCCCCCAGCTGGCTTGCTAGGGCTGGGTAGACGGCGTCATATACATCCACGTGCGCTTTCCATATGGTGTCCATTTGAGGCCACCTCGCCACAAGCACAAGGAAGGCAGCGAAGCTGACGGCACTGCGGTAGGCAGTCCAGCAGCTGCTGCAGCAGCAGGACCATGTTGCAGCAGCAGCAGGCGCAGCAGGGGAATCCCCAACAGAACCTTCATTAGCCAGGATGGCAGGCAGGCGGGATCTGATCCCCCCCAGGTCCATGAGCACGCCCACACGAGGCTCAGCCATCCACTCGAGCAGCATTGCTTCTGCACAAACAAACGGTGCAAGAGCGCACTTGCAGGAGAACTGCGCACGAGGCTCCATCTCCCCTTGCTCTCCAAACGCCTGCGCTCTCAGAGCACAGTCCAGCACACTCCGTGTGCAGCCAAATTCGTTGCCCCAGCCCTGGCGTGGCACAAGGGGGGCGGCGTCAGGCACCTGTTTGGTGAGGAGGGATCGCACGAATTCAAGGCTCTCCATGGTGACAACACGCTCTGCTCCCAGGCTGACCGCGCGGTCAAAGCAGCACTCGCACTCCTTCAGATCCCACCCGCCCCTCATGTCAAGATAATGAACCATTTCGGTCCGACCAAGCAGCTCAAGCTTCCCGGGTGTTTCCTGACCTCCCAATTTCCGTGAACCCCCAGCTTCCCGTGCAGATGCCTTGTGGGCTGCATTTTTATGCTTTGGAAACTTCCGCTGCCTCATCAGCTCGTGGCGATGACTCCAGATGGACTGCTTAAGTTCCGAAAGACCGGCCCCACAGTTGCTGCAGAAATCATGACCTTCTCCCTTCTTCCACCGCCGCTTCCTGATGGGCGTCTGTTCAGCTTCCTGTGATCCTCGTTCTCCCCCCCCTCCTCTTCCTCGTCTTCCTCATCTTCATTGCTGCTGGATCCCATGTGGTCCCACTTGCTGTAGTCGATCCCACACGACCTGGCGACCGCAGTGGGAGCAGCAGCAGGAGCTTTAGGAGCAGCCGCAGGAGCAGCAGGGGCAGCAGCGGGAGCTGCATAAACAGCAGCGGGAGCAGCAGAAACATCGGCGGGAGCAGCAGAAAGAGAATCGGGAGCAGCAGAAACAGCACCGGGAGCAGCAGAAACGGCACCGGGAGCAGCAGAAACGGCAGTGGGAGCAGCAGAAACGGCAGCGGGAGCAGCAGAAACGGCAGCGGGAGCAGCAGATGAAGAAGCAGCAGCAACAGCGGAATGCTCGATCTCAGCAGGCACAGCAGCAGGAGAACTCACACCATCTTCACCTCCCTTGCCCTTTCCCTCTCCACCCCCATGCACAGCGGCGATATTCACGGGAAGCACTCTAATGGTGGAACCAGCCTTCAGCTTTGCTTGCTCCACAGTGGATTCAGGAGAAAGGTACACAGCTTGGCCTAGCACCATGAACCGAACCTGCTGCTTACGAACCTCCGAGTCCAAACTCTCCGCGTTCCCTCCCTCTCGGGCTCCGTGCTGACGTGGATCGGACGGTAGGCAGCAGTTGGAAAGATAGATCTGAAAGAGCCTGTTGAAGACCGATTCGAGCAAATCATTTGGAGAAACGGCGAGGTGAATGTCCATATGGTCACATGATGATAACGCGACAGGTGGCTTGTTCTCGGAATGGCTGCTGGCAACGTTCACACTGCTGGCAACGTTCACACTGCTGGCAACGTTCACACTGCTGGCAACGTTCACACTGCTGGCAACGTTCACACTGCTGGCAACGTTCACACTGCTAGCAACGTTCACACTGCTGGCAACGTTCACACTGCTGGCAACGTTCACACTGCTGGCAACGTCCACACTGCTGGCAACGTTCACACTGCTGGCAACGTTCACACTGCTGGCAACGTTCACACTGCTGGCAACGTTCACACTGCTGGCAACGTTCACACTGCTGGCAACGTTCACACTGCTGGCAACGTTGCTGGCGCACGGATCTTCGCTTCCACAATCGCCTGATTCTTGACGATTTAGACCCGCTGGGACCCGGAATCGGATATAAAAAGCCATGAAGTTACTATGTTCCAACGGAATACGGTGTTTTGACTTAGGGTTTGCTATGCGGGTAACGGCTTCGGGAACGAAGGAAGTCTTCCACCAATGATAACGGTTCTGCCAGCATAGAATGCCTCAAGAAGTCATCTCCTTAAGGGAATTCACAGGTCGCGAACTTCCGAGGCGGATCGCGTGAGCTACTAAGCTAATAGCGCATAACGAAGGTATACAAGTCCAGATAGTGGCGGCGTTAGTACCAATCTGCAAGTCATCACGCCATGCATACCCCCCCGAGCAGATCTGTATCCCCATGCATCTTCCCCCTGCTCCGCACCAACTTCTAGTTCGTATCCTCATTTTGTGCTTGCTGTGCGCGATAAAATTTTCCACTTCATTATGTACCCTTCCGAGACATATAAAAGCATCAAATTCCCTTCGCTCCTCCTCCCCATTTCCTTCTCCCCCTTTCCACCTTTTTCCCTCCAATCCACCTGCCTGCCCTCCTCAATTCTCCCCACTCCCTCCCCCCTCCCTCATGCGACCTGCTATCCTCTCACAGGCTACCACAACCTGCTGGACCGGATGGCAGGGCGGCAACCATGCACTGCACGCGCATGCAGTGGGTCCACCACGCAGGCAGCCTTGTCGTCGTCTTTGCTGCCGGCGCGTAAGCCGGCGCAGGACATGCGCGAGTGGCCGTGCCTGCGGGTGAGCCATGATAAAGGAAGATTGTGGGGATGATACGGGTAGGCGATGGGGGGGCCTAGGGCGGTGAGGAGGGGAAGAGGGTGTTAGGGGAGACGGGGGAATAAAGAAGAACAAAGGACAAAGAAGAACAAAGCGAGACGGGGGAGACTGGCGCGGGACATGCACGAGTAGCAGAGGACAAAGAAGAACAAAGCTCTCCCCGTGGCAGAGGCGTGGCGCTCTTCCTGACACTATCTATCTCAAACCTATCCCCTTCCCCCGGTCTCCCCTCTTCCCTCTTCCCTCTCCCCCCTCGCCAGGCCCCGCCCAGAAGGAGCCAGCCTCTGAGATGGCAGTGAGAGGGGGGATACGGGGGATATGGAAGTGTTAAGAGGTGATGGGAGGAACAAGATGGCAAGGGTTCAGGAACGTGGAGTCAAAGAAGCAAGGCCACGTCGTGCGCCTTCCAGGAGGAGCCAGCTGGTGAGGAGGCAGAAGAATGAATGCACCAACGGCGCATCAGAAAAACAAACGGCGAATACAATTTCTTCCCGCCCTCCCTCCCGCAGCTGCCTGCCAATTTCTTGCTCTCCCCAACGAAATGGGCCTCTGTCCCTTCTTCCGTAACTGCTCACAAACGTAATCTCGAAGGATAGTCGAAGAAGGAACGCCACTTTTGCCCAGTCGTCTGGATTCTGTATCAGCTGAGTCAGTAATAGCGCCACCTCCGCTGGCCGTCATCCCTGATGGTTGTGGCGACCAGCACATGGGAGGTGTCATGGTTTTTTCTCTTCGCAAGCAATATGCTCATCCGCCTGACGTTGCGCTGCTGCCCTGCCCCCCCACCTTCCCCCCACACCCCTGCCGCCCGCCTCTCCGCGGTGAAGGGTGCGTGGCGAGCGCGGCTCTGGTGCCCCGGACCCCTCCAGCGCTCTGGAAGGGTGAGCGCGCACCCTGAGCAGCGTTGAGATTCCCCAAGCCACCTCCCCCTCCTCCCACCCTCGCCCTGTGGCTTTTTTCTAGTCCACTAAAAGATCCCCCCCTCCCCCCACCTCACCTCGATCTGCTCCTCTCCACACCTCTTGGCTCTCTTTTCCCGATTCCTGATTCCCCACTCCCCTCCCCCCCCTCACCCCCGCTTGTGCATCCTTGTTGCTGGGGAGTCTCTTCTTGTCAGCCAACGCAGAACCAGGCCTCATCGGAACTGATTTTTCTCTCAGGAGCCACCACAGGTGGTGGAGCTTCCGTTGGAGCAAGTGAGGATCACACGGCCAGCCAACTCAACCCCTTCCCGTCCCTATTTCTCCTTTCCATGTCTGCTCCCCGCCTCTCTCCCCATTGCCGCGCCCACTCGCCCCTCTCTCCCCACTGCCCTGCTCACTCGGCCCACTCTCCCCTCCGCCCATATTGCGTGGCACCTGATGGAATCGGTCCCTCTATTTCTAGACGAGTCCGTTTCGATTGTGTGAATCATATAGCGCCTGAAGCACTAAATGCCTGCAATGGTGGGCCTTCAGTCCTTTGTTGCAACTTCCCCACTCCTCTCACAGCATTCACTCCTCTTATTCCTCCCACTCCTCCCACATCCCCCACCCCTCACAGACAACACGTCTGACATACCCCTCACTCTTCTCATACCCATCACTACTCTTATACTGCACACTCCCCTCATCCCCCCCACCCTTCTTATACCCCTACTCCCCTCTGCCTGCAGGCCTCGGTCATCTCTTGACATGCCAGCTTGTGCTCTGCTCCCTTGGGACTTGTGCAATCGCACTGCTTGCATAGGATTATGTCAAAGTTGTCAAGTGTGCGGACTCGCAAGGTGCCTGTGACTTGCTTGCATTGTGTACATACGGTACTTTGGAGTCTTCTGGTGCCACATGTTGCAAGTTCAATGCAGGTGAATGAAGGTTCGCTCGCTGCTGGATGGGCGTATAAATCATGCTGAACTGAAAGTACAGAACAGATACAACTGCAATTCGAAAGACAAGGTTCTTGGCCTACTGCCAGATGAGCAAATGCCGTAGAGATCCGTGGGTTGTGACAACACGAACTTGCCGCAGCTCCCGGGAGACAAAACCAGCAAACTGTTGTTCAGCAGCAGAATAATTGTGTTGTGTTGTGATGTGATGCTCGGAAATCAACGGGCAAGAACAAGAAGGATAAGATCTTGCGGTCACTTTTGGAGAACAGCAGCAGCAGACTTCCATTCAGCAGCATCCACGTGGTCAGAAATTGCCATCGTTGAGCAAAGCTCCTCACTGGGGTAATGGGGGACGGGGCAATGGGAGGATGGGGTAATGGGAGGATGGGGTAATGGGAGGATGGGGTAATGGGAGGATGGGGTAATGGGAGGATGGGGTAATGGGAGGATGGGGTACTGGGAGGATGGGGTAATGGGAGGATGGGGTAATGGGAGGATGGGGTAATGGGAGGATGGGGCAATGGGAGGATGGGGTAATGGGAGGATGGGGTAATGGGAGGATGGGGTAATGGGAGGATGGGGTAATGGGAGGATGGGGTAATGGGAGGATGGGGTAATGGGAGGATGGGGCAATGGGAGGATGGGGTAATGGGAGGATGGGGTGGTGGGAGGGCGGGGTAATAGAATGACGTGGTAAGAGAATGATGGGGTGATAAGATGATGGGAGTGGTAATGGGGTAATAGGGTGATGGGGTAATGAGGTGATGGGGTAATGAGGTGATGGGGTAATGAGGTGATGGGGTATTGGGATGACAGGGAGATGAGATCAAGGGTGACCCGAGAGCGACCTGAGAGCGACCTGAGAGCGACCTGAGAGCGACCTGAGAGTGACCTGAGAGCCACCTGAGAGCCACCTGAGAGCGACTTGAGAGCCACCTGAGAGCCACCTGAGAGCCACCTGAGAGCCACCTGAGAGCCACCTGAGAGCCACCTGAGAGCCACCTGAGAGCCACCTGAGAGCCACCTGAGAGCCACCTGAGAGCGACCTGAGAGCGACCTGAGAGCCACCTGAGAGCGACCTGAGAGCGACCTGAGAGCCACCTGAGAGCGACCTGAGAGCCACCTGAGAGCGACCTGAGAGCCACCTGAGAGCGACCTGAGAGCGACCTGAGAGCGACCTGAGAGCGACCTGAGAGCGACCTGAGAGCGACCTGAGAGCGACCTGAGAGCGACCTGAGAGCGACCTGAGAGCGACCTGAGAGCGACCTGAGAGCGACCTGAGAGCGACCTGACAGTGACCTGAGAGCGACCTGACAGTGACCTTCTACGGATCCACTGCTAACCCATGATGAGCCCATGATGAGAGTGAACAATGTGCCTGCGCCGTAGGGGAGGGAGTGGGTGTAGAAAAAGCATGTGTGGAGCTGGGGCGGAGGAGGGGAGATGAAGTGCGAGCGGGATACATGAAGGATACATGAAGTGGGTCCAGAGTAGATGAAGGTTCCAGCAGGCAGGGGACAAGAGTGTGGAGGACGCAAGCGCACCACTTGGGGAAACAATCATTACGTTTCTGGCAGCAGCACCGCTGGCGGTGGTGCAGCGGTGGATGCGAGGCATCATCCTGGTGAGGCATCATCCTGGTGAGTCGAGGCATAGTCACCATCCGGCTTGACATTCGTGTTGACGCCTGTGCATGCATATCCAACCGAATCGCGCGGATTCAACAGGGACAAGTCACGAGATGGGCCACGGCAGAGCCTGGCGTCGCGGTAGGAGATTGGGGTCAGGGGAGGGGTTGAGGAGAGGGGAAAAAAGAAGGACGGTACATGTGAAGGGAGGGAGTGAGGGGAGGGGGAGTTTGTAAGGAGAAACGGAGGGGGTAAAAAGAGGGGGAATAAGTAAGGAGACAGGGAAGGGGTGAGCGGAAGGGGAGTGGGTCAGGGAAGGGGAAACGGGTACGAGAGTTGGAATCGGGCAAGGGGAAAGGGAAGGGTAAGGGGAGGGTGGAGGGGTGGGGTAAAGGAAGGGGAAAGGGGTAAGATAAGAGGAAGGGAGCATGGGGCGAGGGGTGGAGTAAGGGGAATGGGGGGAGGTAAGGGTAACTGGGGAAAGGAAGAGGGGGAGGGGGGGGGAGGAGTGGGAACAAGAGGTGAAAGGGGTAAGTGAAAGGAGAGCGCGTGAGGGTAAGCAGGGGACATAAGGGGAGAATTCGAGATGGTTCAAGTCAAGGGTGGTGTCTTGGTGAGCAGTGTGCCTGTGCGAGTGGGTTTGAGAAGCAAGCAGGAGCACAGCGGGGCTGGAGGGGTCACGGATGATGGGAAGGCTGGAAGAAAGCGTAATCATGAAATGGGAACAAAAGAACTGGAGCGGGACCGGAAGGGAGACTTGATGGATACTTTAGGGAATCTCCTGAGATCCCCTCGGAGCTCTAAAGCATGCTCGACCTGCTCTGTTTCTCCGTTAGCCCCGTCAGCAGGCCCCTCTTCAGCGCCCCTCCCCCCCCTCTCCTCTCTCCCCCCGCCTTCAGCAGTCCCTCACAGTCCTTCCAGTGACTCTCGCATACATCATCCCCACACCACATCGACGACTGCTCATGGCCTCTTGCACACAGCCTTTCGCACACAGCCTCTCATACGTCGCCTCTCATGCATCGCATTTCCTTCAACTCCCCTTCCTCCTCCTCCCATTCCTTCACACGCCCTTCCATCTCCCCCACTTCCATCTCCCCCACTTCCATCTCCCCCACTTCCATCTCCCCCCCTTCCATGTCCCCCACTTCCATCTCCCCCACTTCCATCTCCCCCACTTCCATCTCCCCTCCTTCCATCTCCCCCACTTCCATCTCCCCTCCTTCCATCTCCCCTCCTTCCATCTCCCACCCTTCCATCCCTCTCCTTCCATCTACCCTCCTTCCATCAACCCCCCTTCCATCTACCCCCTTCGACCACCCCCACTTCCATCTCCCTCCTTCTATCTCCCCCACTTCCATCTCCCCCACTTCCATCTCCCCCACTTCCATCTCCCCCACTTCCATCTCCCCCCCTTCCATCTCCCCCCTTCTATCTCCCCCCCTTCCATCTCCCCCCTTCCATCTCCCCCCCTTCCATCTCCCCCCCTTCCATCTCCCCCCCTTCCATCTCCCCCCCTTCCATCTCCCCCCCTTCCATCTCCCCCCCTTCCATCTCCCCCCCTTCCATCTCCCCCCCTTCCATCTCCCCCCCTTCCATCTCCCCCCCTTCCATCTCCCCCACTTCCATCTCCCCCCCTTCCATCTCCCCCCTTCCATCCCCCCCCCTTCCATCCCCCCCCCTTCCATCTCCCCCCCTTCCATCTCCCCCACTTCCATCTCCCCCACTTCCATCTCCCCCACTTCCATCTCCCCTCCTTCCATCTCCCCCACTTCCATCTCCCCTCCTTCCATCTCCCCTCCTTCCATCTCCCACCCTTCCATCCCTCTCCTTCCATCTACCCTCCTTCCATCAACCCCCCTTCCATCTACCCCCTTCGACCACCCCCACTTCCATCTCCCTCCTTCTATCTCCCCCACTTCCATCTCCCCCACTTCCATCTCCCCCACTTCCATCTCCCCCACTTCCATCTCCCCCCCTTCCATCTCCCCCCTTCTATCTCCCCCCCTTCCATCTCCCCCCTTCCATCTCCCCCCCTTCCATCTCCCCCCTTTCCATCTCCCCCCCTTCCATCTCCCCCCCTTCCATCTCCCCCCCTTCCATCTCCCCCCCTTCCATCTCCCCCCCTTCCATCTCCCCCCCCTTCCATCTCCCCCCCTTCCATCTCCCCCTCTTCCATCTCCCCCCCTTCCATCTCCCCCACTTCCATCTCCCCCCCTTCCATTTCCCCCACTTCCATCTCCCCCACTTCCATCTCCCCCACTTCCATCTTCCCCCCTTCCATCTTCCCCCCTTCCATCTCCCCCCCTTCCATCTCCCCCCCTTCCATCTCCCCCTCTTCCATTCCCCCACTTCCATCTCCCCCACTTCCATCTCCCCCCATTCCATCTCCCCCTCTTCCATCTCCCCCCTTTCCATCTCCCTCCCTTCCATCTCCCCCTCTTCCATCTCCCCCCTTTCCATCTCCCCCCCTTCCATCTCCCCCTCTTCCATCTCCCTCCCTTCCATCTCCCCCTCTTCCATCTCCCTCCCTTCCATCTCCCTCCCTTCCATCTCCCCCTCTTCCCAGACCCCCGCTTCCTTCAACTCCACTTCCTTCACCACCCCCGTTCACCGGTCTCCTGAGTGGATCTCACAGGCGAGTTCAAGCTTGTCAAATTGCCCGCCAGCCCCATCAGCAGGTCTCCCTTCACTGCCTCGCCCCCTTTCTGACCTCCCTATGCTGGCCGCCGCCTCCACTGCTGCCACCAACGCCTCTCACCAACCTCGCGCCAAGCTGGTCAAAATTCTCGTGTCTCAAGGCTGGCTGAACGGAAACTAGGGGAAACATGTAATTTTTTTGCGTGGCTGCTGTTAAACGCCAAATTGAGGGACACTCTTACGAATATAACATAAAAACTATTTCAATCATAATCATGAAGCTACACCCCCGCTGCAATGACGGTGTGCATGGGCCGCTCTTGCATTTGTTGATGGGGCACAGCTGCACTCAGCCCAATCGTGTTCATATTGCGAGTCCACCTGAAGGGACATGGCAACATGATTATTCCTACTTATTCATACCACTAAGAGCAACACTACCCAGTACCACTCCAGGCAGGTTGCTCAACACGAGTGCATGCAGACTTTTGAGTCGACTCAAAAGTCAGCTCAGTATAATGTCAAACGGCGTCTTTTCTATACGAAGAAGTATAATTGCTTGGAGGTTGCCTAAAAGAGTAGGTAATTTTTTAATTTCTGTTCATAAGTGCTAGTTTACTGTAGAGTAGTTTTTCTACTGTTCTATCTAGCTTTGCCCTGCCATCCCAGCCCCGCGAAGGAATGCCTCGCGCTGGAGCCCCCGGGATTGGTATTTAGGGTGTTTGCTTGCTCATTCGTGCCTTTGTGGTCTGAAGAAGGCTCAAAGCCGAAACTAGTTACCACCAATTTTCTTTACAAAGGTCTCTAAGCAAGCCCTACTGAAACTTAAAAACTTTTTTTACTAAACAATGCCGCTGCCACGCAAAGACACACCCCCTAAGTGGGGTTCCATTGGACTGTCAGTTGATACCACTGCGATGGCCGGCTATAAGTTTAACGCATCAAACAACGCTACTACCAACAATGTCACTGACCGCGTCTCGACTATCCCAAGGACATTGAGAACATCGCGAAGGAATTCGCAGCCTTGCCTGGGTAAAGAGCCGGTCTTTGAAAGGGACTTTCCACAGTCTCCTTCTGCTTCTCGACATTGCAAGAGAAGAGCTCTTGATAATTCTGGTGCTACTCTCGCAAAGTCTGTTAACGTTCCCGGCATTACTCCTGTTACGATGGCTGCTACGGCTAACGCAACGGTTCCGGGACAAGAAGCAGTTCAAGGGATCCAGGACTCCGTCACTCGTGACACCATCATGCTGGATTCACTTGAATTTCTCGGTGACATTAACGCTTCTTTTCTGGATCAGCAGGGTACACCAGCCTTTTTTAAGTCTCTTAAGACTCAAGCCGTCAATGACTTCAAGAAGCATTTCATGAAGCATCGGACGCTGTTACAGCAATATAACTTCATGGAGGAACAGAAGAGGAACGGAATCATTCCGCACTCTATTCAGATTAAATCCTTCAACTTCGTCTGCCATGCCGAAGATATTCGCCAAGAAGCAGACAAGGACCTGGAAGCCGCTAAGCTGGCGTATTGCCAGAGCAAGCAGAATATTCTGATTTCTATGAAGAAGAAAGCTGCTGAAAAGGCCTTCAGTGACGCCTGTGCTGTTTATCATTCGCTGATTCATCGTATCGACAATTTTATCAACCTTAATAAGAAGTCCGATCTCGGCATCAAGAATCCGAAGCTTATTGCTAACCTCGACGTTTTCAAGTCGCGAGTTCTGACGGAGTTCAAGGATTCTGTCTCAATCATCTATATGGAAACCAACATGGCGGAAGTTCTCCTGAAGCAGAAAAAGGAGGAACTTGACGCTAAGAGGAAGGCTGCTGCTGAAGAAGCTGAGAATTTGCCGGTTGAACCCACTGTCCGAGAGATTGCTCGTCAAGAAGTGCAGAAGGTTATGAAGCAGGCTCCTGCTAAGACGTCTGCGAAAAAGACCGGCAACAACATTGTCAAGGATAAGGCTGCTGTTTATGAAAATCGCAAATCTAAGTCTAACAACTCCGGTATTCCTGTCAGGAAGAACGGCAGTACAGGCAAGAAGTCTCGCAAGACTCCAAAAGCCAACGGCAAAACTTCCAACGGCAAGAAGCAGACTCTGACGAAGCAGAAACAGAAGCAGAAGGTCGACGAGGCTGAGGAAGCCGCAGTTAAAACCGTCGGCCGATCTTACTCCAAGACAGCTGCTCGCAACGGTTCTAAGACTAACGGACGCAACGGCTCCTCCTTTTCTTCCCGAAAGGATCCTGTGACAAAAAACGGGGGAGGCGGAGGCCGCGGAAAAACGACTCGGCGGTGATGGGTGATATTCATTCGTTTGCTCTGGTGCTCTTCGGACGACTGACAGAGTACCAGCTGCAATGTCGTGTCACCAACCGCGGTATCCACAATTACAGTGACCATTCCTTCTCTCGACAAGAACTTAACCTTTTAAGCCTTGGACTGAAATTCATTCCCGTACCTGTTATTCGCACCGTCGCTAGTTTTGAAGCTTAGATATCTGATTTCTTTAGGAGTGTTCGTACCATGTACCTCTTTAATGGATCTGACTCTTTCGGTTACTCAGGGTACAAGCTACCTAAGAGAACAAACTGGGACCCTCCACCAGCCTCACCTGAAATTGAAGCTGCGCTGGCGGTGTTTAAAGAAGCAGCCGTTAAAGAAGTTGCTGGTCAGAGTTTCACTTCCTTAACCCGGAAATCTAAGAACGTGCTTCCGATTTTACGGCGTTTGGCGAAGAATCCTAATCTCATTTTTAAACCGGCGGATAAGAATCTTGGACTAACCGTCATGAGCAGAGATTACTATCAGGATCAGTGCTTGAAGCATCTGCTTAATGACCAAGTCTACAAAGAGTATCCCTCTGTGCCGATCTCTTCTATCTTACAAGAGCTACATATTATTCGCTCTGAATGGAGCTGTCTCATTAAATCCAGGATTTGGGACTCTTTCTTTCTTCAACCTAAGAACGGCTGGAAGATTACTGCTTTCTATGTGCTGCTGAAGATTCATAAGAAAGTTCCTGCCGGTAGGCCAATCGCGGCTTGCCACTCCTGGATCACTACTAACATTTCTCGCTGGCTAGATTCCGTCCTCAGGCCGCTGGTTCTTAAGCAGCCGACGTATGTCAAGGATTCTCAGAGCCTCATCCTACATCTCGAGAAACGCTCCTTTCCTTCCAATCTGCTACTAGCTTCCTATGATGTGGAGTCACTCTACCCGTCAATTCCTTTACAGGATGGAATAGACGCTGTCGCTTTTTTCCTTCAAAAGGAGAGGCACCCGCTGGCACCAGTCATCGTTCATCTTCTCAGATGGGTGATGTTCAATAGTTACGTTTCTTTCAACGGCCAGTTTTTCCACCAAATTCAAGGCACTGCGATGGGTACTTCGGTAGCTGTTTGCTTCGCTGTGCTGTTTCTGAGCTACCTTGACATTCAGCTGCACGCTTCGCTTCGTGTTTCTCCCGCCTTACACTTTCGTTTCATTGACGATGGTCTTGTGTTGTGGGAGGGAACCAAGGAAGACTTTGTCAGCTTTCGTCAACGGTTTGATTCTTTACATCCTTCAATCCGCCTGACCTGGGTGGTTTCTGACGTTACCATGGATTTTCTGGACTTGACGGTTTTCAAGGGGGAGAGGTTTTCCAGCACTGGTACTCTCGACATGAAGCTGTACCAGAAACCGATGAACCGCTACCTTTACCTGCCGTTCAAGTCATACCATACCAGAACCACCAAGATGGGCTTTATCCGAAGCGAGCTGCAGCGCTTTCTCCTGCGCTCTTCCTCGCGTTCTGACTTTTTTCATTCCCATGCTCTTTTCTTTGCTCGTTTACGAGCGCGCGGGTACCCGGAGAAGTTTCTTCCCATTTTCAAGTCAGTTTCTTTCTCCGACCGTGGGGATCTGATTCAACGTGCCTCCGCCTTACGCAACACTCCTTCTTCCGCCCGTGCCCCCCTCGTGCTGAAACTCCTGCTCAACCCGCTGGTTGACCGTTCGCACCTGGGGAACATTTTGAGTCGACTCAAAAGTCAGCTCAGTATAATGTCACACGGCGTCTTTTCTACACAAAGAAGTATAATTGCTTGGAGGTTGCGTAAAAGAGTAGGTGATTTTTTAATTTCTGCTCATAAGTGCTAGTTTGCTGTAGAGTAGTTTTTCTACTGTTCTATCTAGCTTTGCCCTGCCATCCCAGCCCCGCGAAGGAATGCCTCGCGCTGGAGCCCCCGGGATTGGTATTGGTATTTAGGGTGTTTGCTTGCTCATTCGTGCCTTTGTGGTCTGAAGAAGGCTCAAAGCCGAAACTAGTTACCACCAATTTTCTTTACAAAGGTTTCTAAGCAAGCCCTACTGAAACTTAAAAACTTTTTTACTAAACAATGCCGCTGCCACGCAAAGACACACCCCCTAAGTGGGGTTCCATTACTTATTCATACCACTAAGAGCAACACTACCCAGTACCACTCCAGGCAGGTTGCTCAACACGAGTGCATGCAAGCCGTGGCCTTCCGCCCGAATTTGCCTCAAACGTGGTAAGCCCTTGAGTAGCGCCACACCCTTTTCTGTCACTATGGAATTGGATATATCCAACCCTTCCATCGCAGTTAAACACTGGATGTGTTCCAGGCCAGTATCCGTGATCATACTCGGAAGAACAAGCACTTGGAGCCTGCTCAAAGGTGCCAGATGTTGCAAACCAGCATCAGTCACACAGGTTCCATTGAGGTAGAGAGACTTGAGGCTGCCTGCTGCTCCAATGCCTTCCAAGCAGCTGTCTGTTATGGCATGGCTGGTCAGCTCGAGACTCTCCAGCTGCTTCATGTAGAGGTGCTTGATTCCTTCTGGACTGAACGGTGTTAACCCGTTGAGTGTAATGCGCTTCAGGTGAGTCATAGTGGACACATGGCCGAGGATAGCATCTGAGAGGTAAGGAAGCCCCTTTAGATCCAATGTAGTGGTCGCATGAAACCTCTGCAAATCATGGAAACAAAATGTTTGGAGCAGCAACAGTGTTTGAAGCATACCAAAAGACATACGGTATTTCATGAATTTATTCATGTGGCAGCCAATGCCACCAATCCCTCACTCACCTGCCAAACCATCTTATGAATGCCTTGGCGCATCCTGAGCTCCTCTTCAACGTCAAACTCCACATGCTTCGGTGTTGGGCATGGCATCGCTTCCGCCTCATCCGAACACACTCCTTTCCTCAGCTCCTTCACCTCCTCCGAAGCCAGCTTGTCTTCCTGCAAGCACTCCCTCTGTTCAGCAAACTCCTTTCTGGGTCCTAACAAAGTACCTTTCAAAGCGTCCAATTCCCCCTTCACTGTCATCAGCTCTCCCCTTGTTGTTAGCAATTCCCCCCTTACTGTCACCAGCTCGCCTCGCACTGTTAGCAGCTCCCCTTTCACTAGTACCAATTCCGCTGCCCTGATCCTCTCAGCCTCCTCCAATCCCCTCCTTGTCTCCTCCAGCTGCCCTTCCAGCGCCTTCAGCCTCATCTCCATGGCCTCTCTTGCCCCGTCTGTTGCCGCGTGTGGTGCTGAAACTTCACACGGCAGCATCTCGAGCCCAGACAGCTGATCCGACATGAAATCCAGAATCGCCTAAGAGAGAGAAGCGTAGAATCACCTGAAAGTGTAACATAAGACAGGAGGACAGGCGGGCAGAACATGAATTGATGAGGCAACAATATGGCATTACACAGTGATGTATGAGAGAAGCTACTTGCCATGTGGTAACTAAGTGACAGATGAGCAGTGGAAAATGGGTTAGCAAGATCGCAATGCAAATCAAGAAATACATAGAGAATTGATGAACACATATTTGGATCAGCATTGAGAGGAGAAGCAGCTGGTGAAGACACACATACGTTCGGCATGATGTCAGGTGGCAACGGAACAAAGGAAGGCCGGGCCATGTAAAGGAGCAAAGGAGAAGGTGTGAGGTGCGGCACAAACCACTAATAAGGACTGCAGAAAAGGGACACTACAAGGTTGCAGCAAGGCGGACACAGCTTGAGGGTTGGAGATTTGCAGGCTCATGAGGTGGAGGTTCTGGTGGTGATGTGAAATGGTTCACTTCAACTCACGGGCCATGAAGGGCATGGACAATGGGAGGAGAAAGTAGAGACAAGCGGAAGTTTGTAGAACGAGTGAAACGACAGGCAAGCAAGAAAATCACTACGCTGGAGAGGTACAAGAGGTGGTGTACAATCTGCAATGAAGTGCGCTGAACGAGCAGAGCAATAAGAAGGTCTCAGGAACAACAGTGGTAGCAGAAACACGGTTTCTGAAAAGGCAGTCGCCGTGCAAGAGAACGGAGAGGTGAAAAAACATACAAGTAGAAAATCCAAGGCGTAATGGTCTTTCCTGTTTCGAAGCATTTCACAACATAACTGGATTTAATGCGTATCGGATATTCACACGCCCACCACACCCTCGAACTTCAAACAACAGAAACCGAAATTTTGCAGGACGAAAGGAACAAGATAGATTGCTGCAAGAGGATGCAGAACAGCAGTGACGATGAGGCGAAGAGCTCGCCTCAGCCTCTCTGCCATGACATGTGCAATTGTGGCCCTGCCAGCTCTTCTCCTTACCACAATCAGGCAGGCGAGGGAAGCCGGAGCGAGGACACTACTAGGAAATCTGAAAGTACAGGGCAAGGGAGAACAGAAATGCCACAAAGCAGTGGCTTGGCCGTTTGAGGTGCCCTATACACACTTTCAGGTCAGGTCCGATGCAATCAAGATCTCTTTTATTCAAAGATCCTCCTTTGGCAAGGTTGGCAAGGAGCGTGAGACAGGCAAAATCCCTTCAGCTGGTGGATTCTACCCGGAGGAGGTCGACACAGGGTGGCTCAAATGTCGCAGTGCTCGTGACAAGCCCGGCAGCTTGCCGAGAGCCTCTTCAGGTCGGGCATTACATTTGAGCCACATGCCGGACACGCACATTTTGACTCGTAGCGAGTCAGGCTCAGCTCGGTTACCGCTCATGCATAGAGCCAAAGTCGACCCAGGCCCGCCGTGATACAAAGCGAGCTAACGCGGCTGGCTTGACTCGGCCATTGCTCACGCACAGAGCATACCACAGTATTCTGGAATGAGAAACTCGAAGTGGTTGAGTGGGGTCATACGTGGTGAGGAGAGTGGTTGGGATAGTTATGGGTTGACGTGGAGGGTCTGAACTAGCGTCAATGTGACAGCTAAAACTATGCATGATCATCCTGCCCCGGCGGGTCGGGCCGACCCGACCCGACCCGGGTCAAAACCCGGGTCGGGTCAGTCATTTTGAAGCGCTGACCCGGCCGGGTCGGGTCGACCCGACACCCGAAACCGGGTCAGGTCGGGCCGGGTCAGATTTTTACCCGAAGTCGTACCCGACCCGGTTTCGGGTACCGCGCCCTAAGTCGGGTCGAGTATTTGGCCCGACCCGACTTTCCCTCTCTCGACAATTTGTAGTACCAGCAGATCGCGAAGTCAATGTCTAGGGTTTGTTTGTTCCCTCGACATTGACTTCGATCTGCAATACCTAGGCAGCTAGCAATAGCTCGTTCTCAAGCTCTAGTACTCTCTAAACCCGCGCCCACGTTAAGGAACATTATTTCAAGTGTTTCCATGTTGGCGGAATGGTCTTTTTAACCTAGCGCGACCAGCCAGAGATTTTCGATTTTATAGAATTAGTTATTCCTAGCTCTCACACGCGACTAAACTCTGGCCCCGCGTTCTAATCGCCCACTGCGCGCCTACCAGGCCCGCATCGATAGGGACGCGACCCCCCATAGTCTAGGCCTGCGCCATTACAATAACGTCGCGACTCCAGGGTAAGCAAACGTAAGCGACCCCGCTTGCACGCGAATGGAGGGGGAGGAAGACAGTTCACGCGCTATTCCTGGGGCTTCGCTTGGAGGCCTCCCGACACCGGCCTCCAGGGCCACTTTTCGCTTGGAGAGCGTCTTCAATGGGCAGGAGATTGGGTGGGACGATGCAACAGCGACGAGGAGGCGTGAAGAGGTGCGGGAATGGGAGTCTCAAGGACCTGCACCAGTGACGGAGGAGCAAGGAACACGGGGAAAGGAGAAGGACCCGGATTGGAGGCCGGCGCTGGGGGAGGCGGACGGCGCGAGTGGAGGATCGGGTGATGAGGGTTGGGGAGGGAGAGGAGGGGGCCAGGCTGGTGGCAGTGGCGCGCGTGGCAGCGGTGCAGCAACAAAGAGCAGGAGCAGGAGGGGCCGGGCCAGGAGCAGGAGGGGCCGGGCCAGCGTCGAATGCGCAGCCGCAGGGGGCAGCCGCGGGTGGTGCTGATGGGTCGGGCGCAGCAGGGGCAAGTACCTCCGCCGCTGCAGCTGGTGGTGCACCTGTGGGTGGGTCTGCGGGGGCTGGAGCTGCTGCTGTGATTGCAAGCCAGAGGTCCGACAGGGCGGGCAGGACCCCTACCGGCGCGGAGCTGGACCCATGGACTGAGGAGGTCCTTAGTAATGCAGAGCCCGGGCTGGTTCGTGACATGTTCAGTGAGAAGGATGTGAACGATGCTAGGACTTGCAAGATTTGCAAGACGAAAATTAGCTGGAAAGGGAGTTGCACGAGCACGGGGAAGAGACACCTCAAGAGGAGCCACTACCCTAGTCTGCAGATCTGGTGTCGGCGTTTCAAGGATCCAAACAAGCCAGACAACCTGACGTTTCCCGATGGGGGATGGGGTCCGGATGTCCCCGACCAGACAGCGTGGCCTTGGGAGCATGCAGCCACGTGGCTCAGGATTGTACAGACACCCGAGGGTACGCCAGCCAGCGCAGTGACTGGCGGAGCCGCGGCTGGTGAGAGTAGGCAGATGAGCATGGGTGCATTCGTCACGCCGCGTGTTCATGGCCAGCAGTTGCGCGAGGGATTGGTGCAGCTATTTGCGGCAGCTGACCTTCCGTTTCGACTTGTTGAGTGTCGCGAGGTGAGTGACGCCGTACTCTTGTCGTTGTTCATGATCATTTTCGTATTGAGGTGGTCATATTAGTGTAGCTGCACTGCATTCTGTAGGCTACAACCGAAGCTTCTTCATAATCCTTTTATCGACATCCACACCACCACTCCTGCGTTTGTATTTGCATGTACAGTTCAGGGCATTTGTCCAGATGCTGAACCCGGGAGCTGCGATACTGCTCGGCTCATGCCATCGCTTGGCACGGGACATGCTGGCATACGGGGAGGCTGCTAGGGAGGACATGCGGCAGCTATTGGTGGGTGATGGCCTGGCGGGAAGGATGTCCCTCATCTTTGACATCTGGACCGGTGAGAATAACGTGGCCTTCATGGCGGTGACTGTCCACTATGTCACCAGCAATTTCCAGCTGAAACAGGCTGTTATAGACTTCCGGGAGCTTAAGGGCTCTCATACGGAGGACTTGATAGCTGATGAGCTGGAGGAGGTGTTGAGGGAGTGGGGCTTGGAGAAGATGCTGTTCGCCGTGACGTGTGACAACGCCGAAAACAACAGCAGGGTGATGCGTCTGCTGGCCGGTGTACCTGACGCCAGGCCGGGCTCGCGACCTAGGCACCCACCACTGCTCAGTCGCTGGAGGCACTTCGGGTACTATGGGGCCGACTCAGTAAGGGTATGCTATGTACTGTTGGTGTTGCAGACCATGGTTGTTATTGTAGTGCTTATGGTGTACGTTGACACTAAACCCACGTTGCACAATGCATTGCCCCAACAGGTGTGTGGCGCACGTCGTCAACCTTGCAGTGCAGGCTGCACTGAAGGTTGACGAGGTGGTCGAGCCACTCAAGAGGCTGCGAGATGTGGCGAACTACATCGGCTGGTCCATGCTGCGCACAGATCGTTTCTTCGAGCTACAGAAGGGATACGCGGCGACCCGGCCCCAGGGTCCTCCGGGTTCGCGGCGAGCATCGGGTCCGTTGCGCTTGATCGTTGACTTGCCGACGAGATGGGGTTCTACACTGAGCATGGTGAACAGGGGCTTCGAGCTGCGTATGCCCATTGCCATGTTCTTTGACGATTCCGATGTACGTATTGTGGGATGAACATGGGCGTGAGACTTTGGCGAATGGGGTACGTGGCCATGGCTTGACTAGTGAAGCTTGTTGATATTTGCGTGGCCATGTGACTAGTGCATTGCCATACACTAACGTCATTGCCATACCTACTTCTTTACAACCCATGTGACCCCTTCCAGCCATCCATCAGCAAGGAGACTCGGAAGGCGTGGGACGCCATCAGGTTGACGGATGCGCACTGGGACGACCTCGCCGAGCTCCGAGACTTCCTCACCCCATTCGAGCAAGTCACCCTCTTCGCCGAGGGTTCCCTGTACCCTACCCTCTCGGCCGTTGTACCGCAGTACAACGCGCTGATTGACCTGCAGGAGAAGGCACAGCTCACTCCTGGCATCTCCCCTCTGCGCTCATCGCTGATTACTGCTGCTCTGGAGAAGCTGGAGCGACACATTGGGGGTGTGAGCGAGGAGGCAGCGATAGCCACTTTCTTGGACCCGCGCCAGAAGCTCGCACCCTTCAAGCACCGAGCGAGGGCAGCGGAGGGGAATTCGAGGGGGGCAACACTGGAGCTAGGCCCTGATAGGGTGAAGGCCCTAGTACGGACGCGCCTTCCAGAGTACCAGGCAGCCAGCACCACGGCACAGGGCGATGGTGGGGAGGTGACTAGTGCGAGGGGTGCAGGGGTGCATGCGTCGGCGGGGGGCGGGGATGTGGATGCATCAGCAAATGTCAGCATCCAGTCTCAGTTGTTCGCAGCGTGGGACGCCATGGAGGCCGAAGAGGGGGAGGATCCACAGGATGAGGTGGATTAGTACCTCGCAGAGGGGAGGCAGAGGGGTGGAAGCGCCCTGGAGTATTGGCGCAGCAGGGAGACCCTGAAGAGCTTGAGGGCGATGGCTCGCGATTATCTGGGGGTACCGGCTTCATCAGCAGCGAGTGAGCGCTCATTCTCACAAAGCAGGAACATCATTACTTGGCAGCGTCACTGACTGGCAGCTGGCCAACTGCGTGCTTCGATGCTGATTAAGACGTGGCAGGACCACCACCCTGATGAGACTCTCGCTCCCAAGGGCACCGCAACGGCAATTCCTTCCCTGGGAGTGGAGGATGAATCGAGGGGGTTGTGATATTTGTTCGTGCTTGATGCTTATGCCCTAAACTACATTAGAACACGTGATCAGACCTAAACTTGATTGGTTCTTGTTCTCGTACCCCGAACTTCTAGGTGACTTCGATAGCGTTTAGGGCATTGTTGCATTTTTCCAAACACGTGTAACACTTTAAGCAACTATGAATAGGTTATTTACAAAATGGAGGACGTTTATATAACAATATTACGCAGGGCAGCCTGCACGAGGAGATCTGGCTGCGCCGCCCACCTGGCTTCACTGGGTCGTTTCCTCCTGGTACCCAGTGGAGCCTCCAGCGGCCAGTCTATGGTCTCCGCCAGGCGCCCCGTGAGTGGCACGACACACTGAGGACTACACTTGCGGCTCTTGGGTTTGCTCCTTCTACTGCCGACCCGTCGCTGTTTCTGCGTACCGACACCTCTCTGCCGCCGTTCTACATCCTCGTGTACGTCGACGACTTGGTCTTTGCCACTGCTGACACTGCTGGACTCGCCCACGTGAAGTCCGAGCTGCAGAAGAGACACACGTGCACAGACCTGGGTGAACTGCGCAGCTACCTTGGCTTGCAGATCACCCGGGACAGAGCACAGCGCACCATTACCCTGACTCAGTCACACATGGTGCAGCAGGTCCTTCAGCGCTTCGACTTCACGTACTCCTCGCCTCATGCCACTCCTCTGTCTACTCGCCACTCGCTCTCAGCTCTGCCTTCGGATGAGTCCGTAGAGCCGAGTGGCCCGTACCCAGAGCTTGTTGGCTGCCTCATGTACCTGATGACCTGCACACGACCTGACCTAGCATACCCTCTTAGCATCTTGGCACGCTATGTTGCTCCTGGGAGACACCGACCAGAGCACATGGCTGCAGCGAAGAGGGTGTTGCGCTACTTGTGCAGTACGTCGGGCATGGGGCTAGTGCTTGGAGGGCGACGTCCAGTGGTCCTCACAGGTCACGCAGACGCTTCTTGGGCTGACGACCAGGCTACGCAGCGGTCGTCACAGGGTTACACCTTCAGCCTTGGTTCCGGCTCTGTTTCGTGGCGGTCTACCCGCTCGTCTTCTGTTCTCGGCTCCAGCTGTGAGGCTGAGATCTACGCTGGGGCCATGGCTGCACAGGAGCTACGCTGGCTCACCTACCTGCTGACTGACCTAGGAGAGCCGCCTCGTTCTCCTCCAGTTCTGTACGTAGACAACAAAGCCATGCTGGCCTTGTGTCGGGAGCACAGACTGGAGCACAGAACGAAGCACATTGCTCTTCGCTACTTCCTTGCTCGTGAGCTGCAGCAGCGCGGTCAGCTGCGCCTTGCTTACGTGGCCTCTGAGGCCAACACTGCTGATATCTTTACCAAGGCACTTCCGCCTTGTGATCATCAGCGCTTTTGCACTTTGCTAGGTCTTGTGCCTACTTGGCCTCACTTGCTCACTTCTTGACTTTGCTTGTACTGTGATCTATATATACCTGCACTTGCATGCTTACCCTTGCTAGGTTGAGATCACTGCCTTGTTTGTTCATCTTGATGTATAACTCTGCATGTGAACTGGCCTTGTGGCCTTGTGCTTGTGCTCAGATTGTGTGGTGACGTTGTGATCCACCCTGAGCTTGCCTTGCTTCTCTTGACTGGTCTTGTGACCTCTTGTTCTCCCCCACTTTGCCTATGGGGGTGTGTCAAACTTATATGCTATAGTCTGTGTAGGCTGTAGTGGGGTAGCTCATATGGGGTACAACACTTTAGGGTTTCCTACTTGTACTCCTCATGCTGCTCAATGCAATCATTCCTCATTTCTCACAGCTGCAGCGTCACAGATCTCACACTAAAGCTGCAATTTTGAGGCCCGGTAGCTACAATCCGAAACGGACAAAACCCCTCTAGTGCTTTGGCCTCATTCTTGGGCCAGTCTTTTCCTTTCATAGAAGGGCAACGCGCGTCAAGGCGTTCTGGCCTGTTGTCCTTAAACCACGGCTTGAAGTTGAACTTATCGCCATATTTCTCTATCTCGACTCTAGCAGCGCTTACGGATGAATAGATTTTCCCTTGGTAAATGTGGATCTCCTCCGTCTGTTGTCCAAGAAATGCCCTGTTTAAAGAACACATAATCGCAGAGGTAATGGAATCATATGTAAGTAGTTTGATGCAACCCAAACAAGGAACGTGCTGCAATACAGGACATATCCCATACATTGCATCAGTGAGATCACCTTGAAAGGGAACTTCTGAACATTGTGCACACATGGTCTCTGTCTACACAATAGTTTGCGAGTGATGAAGGTCTGGAAAAAGAAGATTAGAGACACGTGAAGGATAGATAAGAAAAGGGTGGATTATATTCAAAAGCAGCGCTTAAATAATGTGGATGAAACACATGTGCGAGGTGACTGAAGCTTAGCATTCTGTAAAGACCAATGCAAGGAGTCCGTAACAGGCGCGAGAAATCATGCGGAAGGAAAGTCCTAGGGGACAATCAGATTATGCAAGTCGCCTACGATGATATGATAAGCGGATCAGAATTAAGCCAACATACCATCGACCGCAAGGATCGGAGAAGATAAATGAAGGGTGCACATATCAAAAGATCCAGAACGCATATCCTGGATTGCTAGCCAATAAAACATTATCCGAGAGAAGGTGATGCTCCTACTGCTGGATATGGTATAGCCAAATATTCGGGAAAAACACATGGCGCCTATGCTGATTTAAGATTGCTAGCGGGAACCTACGAGGTAACTTATCACGGAGTTTTACATTGTGACTTGTCGCAAACCCTAATCGCTGAAGGAGCCAACTTAACTTGAGACGAAGGGACTCAAAAGACCTGACGGAGTGCTACTCCGTTTCCGTCTGCCTTGCTGGCCTGTGTTCCGAATTTTGGGCGCGAAACAGTAGCCTTGCATATTTCGGAACAGTGTGGCAGCCGAGCCACCCAGATAGTGGATTCGATTTGGCAAAAGAGACAGAAAACAGTTGCGCACAGTTGGTCAGTTGTCTAGTACAGCATGGAAACTGGTGACACGTGGGTGAATGTGGGGAAGAGTACTGTCCTGTTTCTATAATTTCACTGTCTGAGGCACGGAGGGGTGGAAAGTGCCCTCTGCTAGCACTGCAGTCCCTTTCAAAGCGCGGGGTCCCTAGTAGTACCCCTGCCAAAGCTACTTACCCCTCAATCTGCTTCGCCCCAACAGCTACCTTTGTGTCGGACCCGTGATGGTTTTTCCTTGTCCAGCAAATAACGAATTCCATGTTAAACTTTTCATGCTTTTTGATGCTTGACTGGACTCTCGCCTTGTTAGGCAAGCAATAATATTCACCACGACTTCAAAACCCGGGGAAAACAATGGCCATTCAGGTCTCAGGACGGGTCCCCGATCCGATAAGGGGACTCCCTGGGGTGACTCTATGACAACCTGCGTTGCGTTGTCAGCAATGCTTTGACTGGGGCTTGGCTTAACCGCCCATCATCTGACTTTTGTGTTGCAGTGATGTAAGCTGGAACAATCTTATTGGCCAGCTCCCTCCAACAATAGGCAATCTCACTGGTCTTTTATCCCTGTAAGGCATGCATATTGATTTGTTGCAATGTCCATCATTGCTGGTCGAAGCATATCATGAGGAGGAGGAAGGCAATGGGTTCCTCTCGTGCACCTTGTTGCAGCCATATGTAGGAGGTATACAAGTTAAAGGCCGAACGTGACTATCCCAGCTCAATCTGTTTCGACATGACAGCTATGTGATTTTGGGTCCAAACCACATCAAGCCATTTCCTATTGCCTAGTACGCATAATACATCTTGGCATTTGATTGTCATACCATATTTCGCCAATAGAGACCTCAGAACGTTTCACTCATAGCTGAAACCGGTTTCTGATTCATGGCTTGAGAACACACCATGTGCACATGCAGGGACATATCTGGGACGGCAATCACATGCCCTCCTGACTACAGCAGCTGCATGGTCCCACAGAACGCTTCTAGTGATTTCTGCAGGCAGTGTGGCTCCTTCTGCTCCACGTGTGACAAGCCACCACCAGGTGAACTGCAATCTCCTTATGCAGGTGGTTGCATTCTCTTTTTACTTTGCTCAACTTAGTGGTAAGAGTACAGATACCGCATTGCCACCCACATAACAAACTTTTCCAGTGCCAAGCGTCCAAAGATCAGCTACTCCTCATAATATGCAATCCATACACAGCTCATCTACTCAGTGTTGTGCTTCTGTTGTACGCGTCCACTCATGCTTAGTAAAGAAAATCTGTTTCAGTCTTTCAATCTCTTTCTTCACATCCCCTCTCCCGACAGCCGTACCTTATCCCACAGCCCCTTACAGCAACTCCATCATCATCCCCATATCTGAATTCCTTCTCCCATTTTTATCTCCGTCTTATTTATCCGATTTTGTGCCCTCCCCACCTCCAGTGCCAACTCCCTCTTCAAGTGCACCCTCAGCTGCTCCCTCCCAGTCAGGAGGCGGTTTATCCACCGGAACGATTGCCGGCATTGCTGTTGCTGGCGCTGTGTCTGTCCTCGTGCTGCTGTTGCTGACCTGGCTGCTATGGAGGTGATGCTGCAACAAAGGGGCAGCAGAAGGAGGCGATACCAGCACTGATGTGAATGGCAAGAAATCAGCAGATAATGATTCGTTTCAAGGTAAGATATTTCTATAGACGCTTAGCCTAGATGAAGCAATCAC